CTTCTACTAAGAAGTGACTCGATTCCAAGCATCCTATTTCTTGTAGCTGCTCTAGGGATGGATTTATAACAGAGACCCGAAGCCCGAATCAAGACTTTCCTTGTAAAACTATTCTGCACAGCTTCCAGTCTAGCAGTATCTTTTTTAGTTCGAGGGAAGAATACTTCCGTTCCATATTCAAGAATCGGGCGCACATATATTTTATAAGCTCTTACAAGTATGCCAGGGTCCCTAGTATATAGTTGTAGTAGTTGAAAAATAGTTGAAAAAGCCTCCTCTCAGCTTTATTCGCTATCGTCATACAATGAGAATCGAACATCAGTTTATGATCAATAATATACTTCCCCTGCCTAGGTAGATGACGGCATAGCAATGGGTTTCGAAATCTCTCATACTGCTTGTGGCTGGTCGCTGTTTTTTCCAGATTTCTTGCTACACCCCACTTGGGTATGACTTCTTCGAACTTGGTTCTTGCTAGTATTTTGCTAGGAAGAATGGACCTCTTGATACTGAACTGTCAGTCCTAGTGTTATCCCCTCCACTCCTTATCATCCCTTATCAATTCCTGTAGAGGCGGTGGAGAGGTGAGATTACATTTATTTCCGAGCCATTCCTATTTCTCTTTTACCAGGAGGCTTGTTTATATGACTCAACCGTGGGGACCATAACTTACGGTTGGCAACTCACCTGATATGGAGCGTCAACTGACATGCTATCCATGTAGCGTTGTGGATTGTTACAACTGTTGATCTCATAAAATACACACATATTTACCTAAATAAATATGGCTCTAGTAAAGCAATAGAATTGTTGAATCGCTGCAAATCGTTTGGGAAAGCGCCCATGCTGTACGAAAACATTTACCTCTACATCGACCTCTACAGCGTTCGATCCAGTTCCATGAAAACATCTTAGAGCTCGAGAACTATGTGGAAATATAGACAAAATTAAAGCCAAGTAACAAGCTGAAAGTTAGGATATTTTTGAACTTTGATACTCAAAAATAGTATGGTCAGAACAGGACTGAAGTGGTAGCAACCTACCGTCAGCAGCAATCATTTTGAAATGATTAGTTCAGAAAGTAATATGAATGATTTCATGGATTTAGGAAGTGTAAATATCCATGATGTAAATATCCATGATTTCATTATCAAAAGTTCCTGCGAGTCCCTACAGCATCCTGGAGGGAGACGGGCAGTTGAATCGGTTTCGGGAATCGATTCGCCGCACGCGGCCTCGCGGGCTAGTTGCTTCGCTATTGCGGTTCTAGCGTTCTTCATACAGCTCGATCGATAGGCGATCATTAATTTTGGCATGATTCTACTGTTTCTTCTTTTATTCCTGTATTTTTTACCTGCTGCTGTATTCTGCTACATTCTGCTACATTCCTTCAGACGCGACGTCGCTCTCGCCGCTATGCGACCATTTCGATTCAGCTGTATGGAGCTATAAATAAACTCAACACTTCAGGTTATCGGGAAGACAGGGCTTCAGTGGTTTTTTGCTGTAGTGCTTTAATGATAGCTGGACTGGAAAAGAAGAACAGTCTGAGGGAAGTCTCTTCCAAGTGTTTTGTGCCAGAAGAGGTAGACGAGAGTATCCTTTGTTTTGAAACGGCAGCCCATCGAAATTCTAGAACGTTTTTGCCTCTTGCATCGCAAGTAATCGCTAATGTCATAGAAAAAAGAGATGAATGGATTTAATTGCCAATTAGCCTCGGGATAACTCATTGGTGATGTAGCTGTTCCCATGGCTTATCTCGTTTTCCAGGAAGCAATTTGTTTTCGAGGCGTTTACCAATTTTGTATTAAGTTGCCACTACTTTCTCAGACAAGTTGGGTAGTCATTTGAGCGGTAGCCCGACCCGTATTCCACAGACGATAGATGCATCTGGGAGTGCCTTCCGGTCATCGCCTTACCCATGCCGCACCACTTCTAACCATCCCTAAAAAATCTTCTAGTTGCCTTGCCACCGCCCTTAAGTTCTCCATTCTCTTATTCCTTTTTCGAACAACTTATCTGCCCTTCACACAGGTGGAGCAGGTAGCACGTGATACTTCATGGCAAGAGAAAGACATCCACTAAAGCGTAAGCAACCTGGCAGTTCCCTATCCCTCTGCAACTTCGATCCTCTCTTCGTTGATGATTTTATAGTAGTTTTAACAGTTTTTAACCAATTTCCGTTCCATTTTCCTCATTTAAGCTCTATATCCTGCTCTATGTTGTTGTCTGTTTGATAGGCGGGGACAGCTGGAAGAATATCGTTCATAGAGTCTGTCTGATCATATTGGGCTGGGACACTCAACGACTTGATTTATGAAAAGCGGTATATTACAGAAGGAAGGTAAAAGTAACCCATGGGAACCGTATTTTAAGATGGGCATGGAATGTGGGAGGAGCTAAAAGGAAGAAATGCTAAGATAGTCATGCTATTCCTTACCCAAGTAACAAACTAATTTGTATGCACATATCAAGAGTAATTACTAAGTCAGGAAATTGGAGTTCTTTGAGACCTCTACGGATCAAAAACCATTGGAGCCGAAAACAATGTGTCCTTCGAAGCCTGACCACAATTCTCGAACACAAATCTCCAGGGTCATTTGCGAGTTACACAATGATGTTCGAACCCCGCAGCGAAACATTTTTCTTCACGGGATACAAGGTGAAACGCCAACGGTGCCGCTGTTTGTTATTCCTTGGTGGTTTCGTTTGCGATTCAACACAAACACTTGGCAATCCCACGTGATTCCTAGTGACCTCTGCCAAAGGTGTGGTAAAAATCCACAACAAACCTCACGTGGGACGAACGAGCACTTGCCCTATTTTTTTGAAAAATTCTCATCGAATCCTAGTTTCTATTGCTTTGTTTATTTTCTGCTTTCTGGGCTTGCGGTACTCGTAAACTACGGTATCCTCTGACAATAGGTTAATTTGTCAGCTTTTATTTCCCAATGTGAGGAAAATCTAAAAACCCTTTTTTTAATTATCTATTTAAACTATTACTGAGGCTTTTCTATCTAATTTAATTGGAGAACCTTCTAGCACTTCGCTATTCAAAATGACGCTGCTCGTTATCTGTTTACAGCTGCAATCCAACGGTGTTTTTCAAACAAATAAAATTGACCCCGATTAATGAACGTTCCGTTTGGTCGTTATCGTTAGTTTCATAGCTGCGTTCCTACAGAATATCATTTTTATGCTTTTTTCAAATTTCTTCTCTAACTTTGACATATGCCATGGCTTCTTCCACAAGTATGGCCCACCACATATAAGACTGATTTCTTGAGCAGGGTTCGGAGGTTTTTTGAGCTCTTTCCAGTTGCGCTTCGATCGTTGTTTAGTGAGTTGCTGAGCTTCAACTGGGTTCTGGAATTTGCTTTGCAGACCACCTTCATATTCGCACGTCTCTATGACTCTAAAAGAAGTCTGGGTCCTAGCGGCGTTCACTCAGAGAGAGGCCCTACCTCATTAATTTCAGATTTGTCGTAGAAATTATGTATTTTTGTACTATTTTCGAGAAAGCCTAATCACTTTTGAGTAAGAACGGCCAGATGCCTCGTCGGGACTACAAAAGAAAGTAACCCAGACCAGGTTGGAAGGTTCTCTGTCGCCTTCTCCTGTATCTCCAGCTCAGCAGCAACTACTCCGTGAACTAGAAGAGGTTCCATTCCCTTTTTTTGCTTTTGTTATTTTCATTTGCAGTTTTTGTTATCGCCTAGGAGCATGGCTGGCAATGCAAAACAATTAGATTCCTTCTTTATACCTGAGGCAATTCATTATCGAACGACGCCTGCGTTATTCATATCCATTCAACAAATGCTCATCTAAATAGCAAGCTTCCTTCCTGGCTGAGCTGGAAAACTGCCCACAATCAGGATGCCAGTCATTATTTAAAGCAAACAAAACATCCCAATATGTGGATAGAATGAGCATAGAATCGCCTAAGCAACAGCAAATGATCGGTGTTTTTTAGCTCTTCAGGAAGACGCCTTTACCCTGACAATCGTTAGAATATTTAAAACCGATTGGATGCGTGGTTGTCTCTCCCAGTTACCTGAGGTGTCTAGCGGACATTGATGCACTACGAGTGCCCTAGAGGTAGCTGCTGTCCACGGGCCTGCCTAGCAGAATTGAAGAACCGGGTTGACCGGATAAGAAACAGTATTACCGTACCAGTTACAGACACAAGTGAAATCCGAACCCCCAATCACTGCTTCATATGTAGTCTATGAGCTGTTGGGGTGCGGACATTATTCAGAAACCTCTCCTTTACTGTCGTTATCATATGCATGTATGTTTTCAAGCAGCCCCCTTCCTTTGTCCGTCCCCAAGTACAACCAAGCATGTCATTCGCCCAACTTGCTCAGTAGATGAAACACGCTTGTAAAAGTGTAGAAACTCAAATCGGAAGGGTGACTGTTTTCTGCAAGCCACCTACAGACCGATTTTGCACTAGGAGACCCAGAAAATTTCTCCTCTTCATCTTCATTTTTCCTCCTCCTGATTATTCGAAAGTGAGTAAGAATACGCGGAATAAAGAACAGGAGAATTCTCGAAATTTATAAGCTGAAGATTCCGCCCAATCGCCTTCACAACCTGACAGCTGACAGCCATCCAATTTAATCGGTCGCGAACTTTAATTGGTCTTCCCAATAGTTTCGTTCTTCGTTTCTGTAGGACGATCAATAGAACAGGATACCTTTCTACATAATGCTCATTTCTATTTGGAAGGCACCTATTCATTATCCTTGGTTGGCCTTCTCGAAAATTCTAATTCATTTTCAGTTTTCAAATTGGCTTATAGTATATTAATGTAATTTGCTTTGGAACAATCAAGAAGGAAGATAAATTAAACGTTCCCAGGAAGGTGTAGAGACAGTCAGGAGGGAAAAATAGTGTTTGAGGAGACCTACAGGGAGAACCTGCTAGGGTAGTTCATCAAGCTCTATTGCGCTGTAGCCACTGTTCCACTCCCTAGGCTCACAGTCCTTGGGACTTCCTACGATTGTCTCGATAGGTCTGCGGTCAGAACAAACAACTTACACTACCGCCTTATTCGGTTGACTATATCATTAGTAGACAGTAGTGCTACCAGGGAGGAGCTGAGATCCTAGAACATCTCCCAGATTCAGCTGTCCTGACGTTCAATGACCAAGAAGCTGCACAGTTGGGTAGTTTCAGGTCCTTCTCAACTGTTCATTAAAACCTTCCCTCAATCTGTTTTCGGTTCGTAAGGGTCTATGGCAGTACAGTAGGCGCTTCTTCTGTCGACCGTCCCAGAAACGTTATCGTTTCCAGTGCATACCAATTCCCGAAAATTGTAGGCGTACGACTCTTTCAAGGTCGGCAATGGCTTGATTGGCGATAAATCATGCGAAAGATTCATCAGAACACTCTCGGCAAAACTGGATCCCTTTGAAATTCCATCCTATGGTGTAAGATTCGATTGAAGTCTTGTCAAGAATTCCAAGAAAATCTTTTCTCATGACAGAAATAAGGTGGAGTTGCAAGGAATTTCCAAAAAAAACATTTTCCCTCCCCAAGAGGAAAAGAAAGCCAATGATCCTCCTTTTCAGATACAAGGTTCCACCTCATTTCTCATTATTCTACCCGTGGGTTGGAAACCCTGTGACTCCGCTTCTCTTTTGATGATCCTTATCAGACGTTTTTCAAGATCATTCCAGTCACAGGATTGGTTGTTTTCCATTGCTGACTCCATCGAATATTTGTAATCGATCAATCGTAAATCTGATGAAAACAACTTGTTTACTTGGGCATTTGTATGGAGTGAGTGCCGGTCGCAGGAAGGCACTCGCTGTTCTCGGATTATGCACCGATCCCCTAATTGATATCAACCGTCGTCGTAAGTATCTCTACTCCTTTACTCCTTTCGGCATTTACCACTGTTCGAAATAAGCCAACTGCGGTCTTCTGAAACTGAAACTTCACGGGGACAAGCTCAAAACCAATATCTATGCGCATAAGAAAGAAAGATTTACGTTACAAAGTAGGGATGTGATTACCATCAATTACTATCATCAAGTATAATCAATTCTTAA